ATACGAGATGACTTGTTTCAGGCATGACCCGTTCTGCCAGCTTTTGTGCTTTGCAGTGCAACGGCAGATTAAATCGGAAAAACGTTTTAGTTGATTCGAACCCAAGAGGAAACCATATTCACCATGTCATATTTTTCTTCCAAAGTTATTGATCATTCCTTATTGAAAAAGAAAATGACTGCAAAACACCAACTACCAGAACGTACTGAAGGTATCGTGCTGAACAGAACAGTAAGTTTTGAGTTGTGATAATAAACAAGTGGCAATGTGCTAAGAAATAAAAGGTGACTAGGCGTAGCAGTCCACTAATCACCTATATGAATGATAAACTATTTTACGTCACAAAGAACATGGCGACGAACGGTAGGAGCATAACAAAAAGAAATGAAATGGCAATGTAAAGACGGACATGTGTTATTCTGCCATAAACACAAGAGGGTGTTAGAGACAAAAAGGTCTAGAGTAAAGATTATTTCTGTTCATATAAAATCTGTGTGTATTAACAGGTCAAAAATAGAGCCTCGACCGTGTTCTGCGAGTATAATGCAGATCTTTTCCTGACGTCATATATTCGTAAGCGGGGCTCGACGATCACTCCATTTTTAATTTGCAGTTTAGCTGTGTCGTGTCAGTTATCTAGTAATTAAAACAAATATTACTAGCGCTTTGTTTCCATGTTATTTTGTGAAAGCCAACAATGCGCCCAGCATGAGCTGATTCCGACTTGATTTGAATGGCGATCAGTGAATGAGCTAATGTCATTAAAGTATTAAGCAATGCAAAATATAAAATCGATTTCAACTTGCGAAATAACTACATTGATAACATGTACTTATATGCCAATTTTAACTGGCATTATTGTATAATTTTAAACACGAAGGTGTTTTAGCAAATACTTTATTTCTGTCCAAGTGTTGTGTTAGAAATGTTTACAATGAATACGTCGTTCATTGATCCAGTGGTGGGTATTGACTGGACCATGTTGATATTCTCTCGCTATCTGTCAAAAGGAGATAATTGTGAATAGAGGAAAGATGTCGATTGGATAGACGTGGCTCGGCAGGAGAAAGTGTAACCTGAATGACCCTACAACAATCAGGTGGAAGTGAAAACTTGTACGACGTTCGCTTCATTATTAGGACATCCCGTTAATGTTGGACGGTGTGGCTACATGGGGGAGTCTGAAGTAACCACATATAGGGGGTGAGTCTGTACACGATGATACCATACTATCTCTTTACAATTGACGTCGTCATTTCGTGAACATATTCCAGTATGGTTAAGTTACTCAAATATTATTGTACATTTATAGATTGCCGCACAGACCAGACTAGATGTGTATTTTAAAAATAACAAGGCACATCATTCCAATTTTCTTTGAATTGCAACCGTAACACACATTTGTGTTAATTGTCGAATTCTGATATTTTTTGTGAAGATTACTGTACAGAGATTACAATATGATGATTGATTGATATATATATATATATATATATATATGTGTGTGTGTGTGTGTATAATATGATAAATGATTCTTACACATATATTTAATATGATAAATGACTGAAACATATATATATATAATATGATAAATGATTGAAACATATATATATATACAATATAGTAAATGATTGATACATATATATATATATATAACATGATAAATGATTGATACATATGTATATATGTTATGATAAATGATTGATACATATATATATATATATATAATGGCTTTTATATTATGAATTAATGATAAAAAATGCAATAGATACTAATTCAGTTATGTTTTACAGTTTTATGAATAAAATAATAACGACTTCCTTCCAGAAATCAAATTAGGTCACGTTGCAATTATGAAAACATATTTACAGTTCTATGGCGCAAATATTGACAGAGACTGTGAAATAATGTGTGATCAATAAATGACATATTAAACGTAACCCCTCTCCCCATGATTTATAACTAACAAGGCTTACCGCTGATTCAATCAATACCCAACTCGTTTAATCTCTGATTTCCATCAGAATGTTTATGTTATAAAATATTATTTATATGTGTCTGTCCAGAAGACTAATTCTCAACCCTGCCAAATGCATTCAAAATATTGCTTTGATAGTATTTACAGATAATATTATAGTGTTTCTTTTGCCACGTGACGACGTTCATGTTTTTGTTGTGACAATAACTGGGCTATCCTTACTATGTAGGACAGAAAAGAACTGCTTTTTAGTAATTACTGAATTATATTGTAATCCAGTATCATAATTAAACAGAGCCCATCGAAATCGTTGATTGTTACACATTTCAGATAATATGTTGTTTTTCTTAAAAAAAGAATTTTATATCATTATGCAACAGAACCACCATACTAAAATTATAAAACAACTTTTCAACGAATTCTTAGAGAGCTTAACAGGTACATAATTAGTTATTTTAACATGTTATAACGTATACTAGAGGACGTCAGTAATTTAGTCTTTATCCAGTTAAACATGTTTATAACGTATACTAGTGGACGTCAGTAATTTAGTCTTTACCCAGTAGAACATATTTATAACGTATACTAGAGGACGTCAGTAACTTAGTCTTTATCCAGTAAAACATGTTTATAACGAATACTAGAGGACGTCAGTAATTTAGTCTTTATCCAGTTAAACATGTTTATAACGTATACTAGTGGACGTCAGTAATTTAGTCTTTATCCAGTTAAACATGTTTATAACGTATACTAGTGGACGTCAGTAATTTAGTCTTTACCCAGTAAAACATATTTATAACGTATACTATATAGGACGTCAGTAACTTAGTCTTTATCCAGTAAAACATGTTTATAACGTATACTAGTGGACGTCAGTAATTTAGTCTTTACCCAGTAAAACATATTTATAACGTATACTAGAGGACGTCAGTAATTTAGTCTTTATCCAGTAAAACATATTTATAACGTATACTAGAGGACGTCAGTAATTTAGTCTTTATCCAGTAAAACATATTTATAACGTATACTAGAGGACGTCAATAATTTTGTCTTTATCCAGTAAAACGTATTTATAACGTATACTAGAGGACGTCAGTAATTTAGTCTTTATCCAGTAAAACATATGTATAACGTATACTAGAGGACGTCAATAATTTAGTCTTTATCCAGTAAAACATGTTTATAACGTATACTAGAGGACGTCAGTAACTTAGTCTTTATCCAGTAAAACATATTTATAACGTATACTAGAGGACGTCGGTAATATAGTCTTTATCCAGTAAAACATGTTTATAACGTATACTAGAGGACGTCAGTAATTTAGTCTTTATCAAGTAAAACATATTTATAACGTATACTAGAGGACGTCTGTAATTTAGTCTTTATCCAGTAAAACATATTTATAACGTATACTAGAGGACGTCAGTAACTTAGTCTTTATCCAGTAAAACATATCTATAACGTATACTAGTTGACGTCAGTAACTTAGTCTTTATCCAGTAAAACATGTTTATAACGAATACTAGAGGACGTCAGTAATTTAGTCTTTATCCAGTAAAACATATTTATAACGTATACTAGAGGACGTCAGTAACTTAGTCTTTACCCAGTAAAACATGTTTATAACGTATACTAGAGGACGTCAGTAACTTAGTCTTTACCCAGTAAAACATGTTTATAACGTATACTATATAGGACGTCAGTTATTTAGTCTCTATCCAGTAAAACATGTTTATAACGAAGCCCCTGGAACTTGCGTATTGATAGTTATCTGAAAAATATAACCTGTTTACAACAATTTCGAATGAACGTTGGTTAAAAGTTTTCAAAAGAGTCTGAAGAAATGAGCCCTTTTTAGTAAAGAATGTCTATAATGAACTACAGGGACGATGGAAATAATATATATTCGGCAGCAATACGTTGCAAACAAATGGGCAGTTATCTGCAGTGAAATTTGGGTTGAATGAACTTATCGGGATGTAAGCCAGTCGCTATAACCATAATTCGTAATATAGATTTATGATCATGATATTCAGAGGGGTTTAATGGATGTCATGTCATCAACTTAAAACAAATGTAAGACCAATGCACCTACAAACAAGTCCGTATCATTATATCACTATTGTAAGGTCAAATGAAGCAATGAAACGCTTACATCCATTCTGTGATTTCACCACGTGTGGGGGTGGGTTTTTTGGTAAATTTCGAGAGATAATAATTAAACTACGCAGTATGTAATCTTTATAATTCATGATTCATATAAATGCAAGAATGATCCTGAGAAGTTTTTAAAAGTTACTATTTTTTAGCGATATTTAGTTTTGGTCTTTCTAGTTTTGTGACATATTTTTAAAGTGATGTAACATGGAACTTCATTGGTTAATCAAACAACTTTGCAAAATCAACGATAACCTTTCGGCACTTCCGGGACATGACGCAACATTGCGATTTCATGACGCCATACTGACACAAATTAGTCGATTTGTAGACATTTTGGAAGTAAAATAATATAATAGTAAGAATAAAGATAACCAATGATACATTCAAGTATTTGACGTGGACAAGGGTTTTTGACGTGGACACAGGTTTTTTAATTCGGGCACAGGTTTTTTGACGCGGACACCGGTTTTTTGATGCGGACACAGTTTTTTTGTCGCGGATACAGGTATTTGACGCGGACACATGTTTTTGACGCGGACACATGTTTTTTGACGCGGACACAGGTATTTGACGCGGACACATGTTTTTTGACGCGGACACAGTATTTTTTATGCGAAAACAGTGGGGNCGGACACAGTTTTTTATTCGAAAACAGTTTTTTTGATGCGGACACAGGTTTTTTGACGCGGACACAGTTTTTTGACGCGTACACAGTATTTTTACGCGGACACAGGTTTTTGACGTAGACACATGTTTTTTGATGCGGACACATGTTTTTGACGCGGACACAGTTATTTACGCGAACACATGTTTTTTTACGCTGACACATGTTTTTTGACGTGGACACAGGTATTTGACGCGGACAAATGTTTTTTGACACGACATATGTTTTTCGACGCGGACACAGGTATTCGACGCGGAGACATATTTTTTTACGCGGACACTTGTATTTGACGCAGACACAGGTTTTTTGACGTGGACATATGTATTTGACGCGGACACATGTTTTTTGACGCGGGCACATATTTTTTGACGCGGACACAGGCTATTTGACGCGGACACATGTTTTTACGCGGACACAGGTATTTGAAGCGGGGACATGTTTTTACGCGGACACAGGTATTTGACGCGGACACGTATAATGCTGTTCGCGATGATCTGAATCTTTAATGTGACTGATAGCAGCCAATAAAAGTTACATTAGGCTTATCAATTACAAGTCCAGTCTGATGATGAGTTCACCGGACACATGTGCCAGACACGGACATCCCTCAGGACAGTGGGTGAGGCGTAATCAGACCATCCCAAACCACGGGACGCCATCACATGTCAACTACATCGTTAATTATTGAATATTAATTATGGACAGTGTGCGACCACTTTGATTATGTAAACGTTGGTCGGTGCATACAGGTCAGATGTCCCATTAGCTGTATATGAACTCATATTTGATGTGATAGAAATGGAAGTGGAGAACATGTTAGTCTCTTGTGATCAGTATTTCACCAATATACAACCGATGCTTAACGTGAATCAAGACGAAAACAAAAACACTTAAAATCGATGCAATTTATATGTTTCACGGTAATAACGAAAGGGCAAAACTGAATTGAAGTACAACTATAAACTAAAAAGGCAAAATATGTTATATCGATTATACCTTAAAACCGTGATGTTCTTCAGCATATAATGGTATCGGACAACAGAGAAACAGTCAGGCGTGACAGCTTATTGAAACAGTGATCAGATCACTTGGTTCGTTAAATGTTTACAGAGATTATTTTTAAATGTTTGAACAAGATTCGTTGGCTTGACGACATGAATTGTTTAGTTATGTCTATTTAAAAATATTCATTTTTTCGCATCAAATTCATTGTTACATATTTACATAAATATAAAAAGGATTAGCTGGAGAGACACCTTCCAGGAAGTCGCCTTTGTTCTAAGTCAAATGTAAACTATTTACAGTACTACCTGGCTACTTTTAGTGTACTGTTTAATATACCGTTTAGAGTATTGACTGGTGTTCGTATTAATGTACCAATTAGTGTACTATTTAGTACAGTATTAAGCGTACTAATATCTACTCTGTAATGATTATGTCAATGAATGCGGACAGAACGAAGTGGTAATTCAATACACAAAAGTCCCATATACTCGTTATCAGGACACACCCTTGTGATGTATCGGCTTATACACCACTGTTGGCGTATTGTCCGATTAGACATAAACCTTGTCCGGATTCCCAAGTGATCTATAACAACCCAATTTCAGGAATAATGTTTATAGCTTACCAACGATTGTTCACTTGGAAACCTACGCACTCGTATATATGACAATTTACTGTATATTTCTTATCGCTAAAACACCGGAATATCAGAAAGGACAAAATGTCACGCAGCATATATCAAAAGTACTTATCAAATGACATTTCCTTATGTACTTGGACCTTTATGCTTTTATGATAAATTGCTCCGATGCATTTGCATTGATACAGAATAATGCATATCAAGGGGACCCAAAACGCCATGTATACAGAGCACCTTTGGGAGACTTGGCATTTCATTGTTCTGAACTGGATCATACTGAATCATTTATATCGGCATGGATCCGCTTTCCCACACATTGTCTGACTGAATTGTTTTATATCAGTCGCAGGACATTTATAAACCCAGGCAGTAGCTATAGGACCCACACCAGTATTTGGTCAAAACACGTGGACTTCAGGGCTGTGTGGGATACGATAACACGGCACCACTGGAAATGGCTTTGTTTGGGATGATTCTCACTGTATCGGCAATCAGAGGTAAGTGATGACATCTTATCATTTTAAAATTATACAATGTTAATCATCCCCATTTTCCATGGAATCGTTTTAAGAACAATATCGATATATGAGAAGAATCATTTAATACATTTTCTGTTATACTGAGCTATTGCAATAATAAAAGAGATTGGTTTTTCATGAAAAATATCGCTTTTTACACTGAATATAACTGGACACTTTAAATGGTCCGAATTATCAGTGGTGTTGGATATTAGTCATTTAAATTGTAGCTGTTGACATGTTTAGAAGGGATGTTTTGGTGTAAAATATCACTCTTGGATTAGAGGGATGATACTGTATGTGTAAAAACACATGAATGATTACAGATGCGGAAACAAAATAAAATACTTAGAATACGATACATAAATATGGTCTTATTACAGTTAATTAAGGTTATATGCTACCTTACAAAGTTTATTTGTATCTATATATGCTTGATTTTTCCTAATAATTTATAATTGCTTCAGTGTTGACAATGCGCGTATATGTTTAAAAGGAGACGGATTTACATAAGTTTATTAACTTTTTTCTGAATCCTTATGGAATATATTGTGTATCATGAAATGTTTTTGTAAAAATAAAATAAAGTTTAAGCTAATGCGCGCATCCATGTGTGTTATCAGTTCTTGTGTACCTTGCAATGTGTGTCATCAGTTCTTGTGTACCTACCAATGTGTCATCAGTTATTGTGTACATTGCAATGTGTGTCATCAGTTATTGTGTAACTTTCAAATGAGCTATCAGTTAAAAAAAATGCACAAGATATTAAAAAGGTGAAAAACGAGAAGTATATCAGACTCAAGAAGTATTGTAAATTTATTTTATTTGCAAAATAATTTGATTGAAATAATCTGTGTTTGACGGTAGCTCTCATATGTATCCTAAATTCAAGCAATTAATTAATTTTGCGAATCTTAGGCAGATAAAGAATATTGCTTAAATAAATTCATAAATGTTATTCACGTTTTTTTGTGACTTTACTGGGTCACTTATACATCAATTTGTTAATTTTATACATACAGATTAAGAACAGCAATTACAGCAAGAACGGTATTATTATTGTTTTACTTTTGCTCATAAGAGTGCAAAAGAGCGCCAGGTACCTGAATTCGCGAGGAGTTGAGCGTTTACGAAATTCTCAAAGTCAATTTCTAAAGTGTGTTCTCTGCAAACATTACACTATTGTTTATTTTTTATTTTGACATTTTTTACGAATTCGTTCACAATTGATATCGTTTAAATTTTGAGTTTCATTACTTGCACATGCACGGAACTGAAATGATATTCATCCTATTGGTATGTTTAGCGATATTGATATGCAAACATTAAATGATTGACTTAAATAACTGCTTGTAACACAAGTATATCATACCAGTGATTTCAGGGGTAAACACTAATCTCCAGGACCAATTAGTCCGGGACCTGTTCGCTAGTTACGATCGTGACGTCAGACCCCAGTGTGAACACAACGACAAGGTTAATGCTACGGCGGACATGAGTCTAAGACAGATCATTGACCTTGTAAGTATTAAATATGTCCCTAAACTATATGTTTTAATATGTCATTAGTAGCATTGGGGACATTTCCACGAAACATTTACTGATGTATTGTATCTACTACATCCATATATACTTTATCATAATAGCTGAAATCCAAATGTCATCCTCCTGTTGTGGTTTCAGTCGGATTTTTTATTCAGAATTGAAATACATTGCTATTGGTAACAGTAGTTTACCCAGTCACGCCTTGCTATTGGTAACAGTAGTTTACCCAGCCACGCCTTGCTATTGGTAACAGTAGTTTACCCAGCCACGCCTTGCTATTTGTAACAGTAGTTTACCCAGCCACACCTTGATATTGGTAACAGTAGTTTACCTAGCCACACCTTGCTATTTGTAACAGTAGTTTACCTAGCCACAACTTGCTATTTGTAACAGTAGTTTACCTAGACACACCTTGCTATTTGTAACAGTAGTTTACCCAGCCACACCTTGCTATTTGTAACAGTAGTTTACCCAGCCACACCTTGATATTAATGCAATACTGTTACGCACATTGTTCCTTCTCAGATATTATTTTTGTAAAAAAATGTTACATTACATACATTTACATATCTACCTTCAATTTCAGGATGAACCAAAACAAATTCTAAAATTGAACGTCTGGATTAGGACGGTAAGTTCAAACAACTATGTATTATTTTATTTTTTATTTTTTCCTTAACGGAGGAGGCATATCTAGAAAATACATGATGCTGATGATTAGCATATTGATCCGATACTCTTATAGGGGTATAGGTAGATCTATGTAATGACTTAACGGTTGTTGCTGAACGTGAGATACGGGATATAACAAATGGGTTTTTTTTAGGTTCGGATTCAATCTGTCCATTTTATACTAATGCCATTTTTGTTCGTTTCTTTGTTTTTTATTTATTTATTTCGAGTTGTTTGCATTTTGTTTGATATTTTTTCCTTTTTGTTTTTGCCTCCTTTATTTTTCATTCATTTTACTTCTATTAAATAATCTTCAATGCCCTCGCTGGCTTTATCTGTCTCAATCGGTCTGTGTCATCGTCGCTATCATTCTGTATATTTAGATTATGTATTATGAGTTTGTCAGTTTCCCTGTAGATGACCGCGTCCTTTGCACTGTGGTCGTTTTACTATATGCCATGTATATTGTTTATATGTATAAAACATATCTCAACAAATTACAATAAACATATTTGAAATAATATCTAAATTTATCTTTTCACTCATTTTCTATATACTCATTATATTTGTAAGCATTGTATTAACTACTTCTGTGTGTTATATACAAATAGGTACTGTAAATCATACATGTTACCCTCGGACCAGTCTCAGTAAGCTTAACTATATTAACAAATACATTATTCTTACAATTTTATTCCGAATTTTTGTTTTTAAAAGCATTGATGTGTTTTAACGTCCAAAATATCGCTTATATTTCGGAAATCATTTGCATATTTTATTATGTATGAAATATTCCCGATTTGATATCACATCTGATCGCCTGTTAAGCTGACGACCATTTAGAAAATATAATCTTTTCGCTGAGATTTTTGGACAAAGCTGATCGGTTAACTGTCAAATTCAATTATAAGTCACACATCATAACCCTGGCATGCTGGTCGTGACGTAAATACAGTGGTGACGTCACTATCAGAATAAGGCGATAGCTGGCTGGTACTGACTGTTTGCTGTTCTGTTACTTGAATAGATAGCGTAATTCGATTGTCTGCAATCGTGGTGAGAATTATATGTTTAATTATTGTATACTTGGTAACAGAGATGGACGGACTGTCGACTAACCTGGGATCCGGCCAATTACAGCAACATAGACCACATCGTTCTCCCCTACGCCCGTCTATGGGTACCCGACCTCGTTCTGTACGATAAGTAAGTTTGTCTTTGTTTTTACCGGCTGAACCAGAGCTTATTCGATCTTTTTAGGTGTCAACGCTGTTTGTAACCTTTGATCTTTACGTCTGAATGGTTACATAACTAGCGATTTCTTCATGAAACAATTAAGTATGACGTCATTGATGTAATAATGCATGGAGTAACACTAATTGTTTTATCGTATTTCGGGCTTTTACAAATGATTATCTCATTATATTCATCATGATGATAGTTATATCATTGTTAACAATAATTGGCGTCCCATTTAAAAAAATCAATTCCATAAATAATCAAAAACCAATCCTGTAGTAAAACAATAGCACTCAACTGAGGATGGTTATTGCCTTTTTATTGCATTTTAGACCGATTATAGACATAGTGTGAATGACGAAGTATATACAGAGGCTATGTTACTTTACATAGATTGTTTGTCCGCTAATAATTTGTCCTTTATTACAATACTCAAGTGTATGTAACCAACAATCGCAATGTGGAGGATGATACATTTGATGGTATTCTCATTTAAACGTTTTGTTTATAAATTTAATATGTATCGCGTGACTCGCACATTTAACCGATTGGTCGTGTGCATTATCTAATTGTTTAAGCATTAGCTAATAGCTATTCTGGACTTTGCACTGTTTTAGTCATAATATTACTCAGCAATTGGACAATCCCATTCTATCTACACAAAAGAAGTATTTTAGTAACTAAATTCATGTACAAGTACCAGATCAAAAAGTTGAATTAAATACAAATGCCTTTGTAAATAAGTGACATTGCCTCTTGAGGCACTTATAAGTAGGCGGTTTTTGATAAAAAAAAAAAAGGAACAAAAGGGATAGAACCGAAGCAATAATAATGTCGATTAAAAAAATGCCTCTGTGCCTCAGTGGCATTGAGAATTTTGTTTTATTTAAATCACAGGTAATTAAACTATTTAAAGAAGAATATAGTTATCGCGTGTTCGCTAGATTACTGGAAACGAGGTACTTGTTTCATCGGAATATACGTATGCACATTTGTTGATAAAATATAATTATTTTCATTTTTTAATATTTACCATTTCACAGCATGGTCACTTTAAATTCATAGCTGATCCGGATGACTTTTTAACAATGGCATATCATGACCTGAGTTTTAAACTCATCATTATTGTGACGTAAAAATAGAAAACGTTTAACGGTGTTCTATTTATTGACCAAGAACACATTAAATATACATGAAGTTTGATCTAAAGCTCACTTTTGATAAACAAATCATATTTTACATATCAAAACAAACCGTAAGTGGTAGTATAAATATCAAACATACGGCTCTCAGTTGTTATTCGTGGCCAATATGACAGCCGACTGCAAACTTATGTCACCCTGGTAAAATATTAGCCGCTTCCTACCGTCTCGGCTAGAGATAATTTCTCTTTGGCTCATTTGGTAGAGAGTAAGACTAGTAAACCAGAGGTCCCGGATTCGACTCCTTTCGGAGGCATTGAAAAACAAGGACCTCTGTTACGTTGGCGCCCACGTAGGGATCCGGGAGATATGACAAAAATACTCAGCGATACTTGCAAAGGAATCACTATCACCCCTGGAAAACTCGGGACGAGTTCTTTCCTGGAGGGAGAGTATGTCACCCTGGTAAAATACTAGCCGCTTCCTACCGACTCGGCTAGAGAGAATTTCTCTTTAGCTCATTCGGTAGAGCATAAGACTAGTAAACCAGAGGTTCCGGGTTCGACTCCTAGCGGAGGCATTGAACAATAATGACCTCTGTTACACTTGCAATGTCAACATGAAGTGTGAGTTACTTAATATGTTATGCAACAAGGATGTTGATATACGCTAGCCATGTTAGATTAACTGTTTGAGTAATACATTACCACATTAATGAATCAACTGCCAAAATGATTTCATCCCCAAGTGATGTTTACATTCCATTAGTACTCGTGCTGTGATGTATTGATATTTTGTATCAATAGGTATTGCCGTATTATATTTATTTCATAATTAAATTGTTACGTCTTTCCCGTTTGACCTTGATATGAATCAATATATTGACAGACAAATGGGTTTATATTTGTATCTGTTATGTTAATATTCAATTGGTAAGGTAATTATAGGTGTCTACTTGCACGTTCTCCAATAAACTTATGTTTTTTCTATTATTCATTTATGGATAGAATTATTAAGAAAAGTTTAAACTCTAAAGTGAATATTAAACCGGGTGTTGTTTTGAGCCATACAAGTACTCAGATTATGTGGAAATGGGTTTGCGAAAATAAAATTTTAAAAATCTTGTTACAATAATGCTTATTTGGTTATGATAACATACAGGGGTTGTGTTAAAACTGAGGATGTTCCTATACCGATGCGTTAACTCTTCACAACTGTTGGTTGTTGAACGCAGGATTTATGCGACACTAAAGGGAGTGTTGTTACAAACAGGTTTTAGTATATCATTTACGTGTTTTGTTCCACCTAAGATTGAGGCAATTGAAACAAACATTCGTAAATTAACTTGGTAATGTTAAAATTGTCTTGTGATGTTCGGAGACGATGAGATGGAGAATAAAATTTAAATAAACATATCTAACCTGACTAAAAATATAATAAAAATATCAGTTACTTAAGTCTATGTTTTAATTATAATGAAACACTAACAATCTACATGTTTTAATTAACAGCGCGGAGTCAACCCTGTCTGGGATCAAAGACTTCCGAGCCGGCCTGACGTACACGGGACATATTTCCTATAACTTCCCTTCCATCCTCAACAGTTTGTGTGCTATCAACGTTCGGTACTTCCCGTTCGATACCCAGACATGTCCTCTGATATTCGGTTCTTGGGCCTACAATGGACTAGAACTAGATATCTCGAACGCCTCCTCCCACACTGGTCTGGCCAGTTTTGTCCGGAGTATTGAATGGGAAGTAATTGACGCACCAATCAAGTACAGCCAGGACTGGTATGGCGACACGTATTGGTCAACTGTGACGTTCACATTCAATCTGGAACGTAAACCTCTGTTTTACATTATGAACATTCTTTGTCCCTGTTTGCTGATCACGTGTGTGGCGGTCTTTGGCTTCATGCTGCCCCCAGACTCTGGCGAAAAGGTCAACCTCGAGATAACCGTCCTTTTGTCTCTGGCCGTGTTCCAACTCATTGTCCTGGAGACCATACCCCCGTCCGGAGACAGCACGCCGTTCCTTGGTACGATTTAACCTGAAAACGAAAGCATCCGAAAAAAATACTTATTTTAACGTACATTTTACGTATTTATGGCAATGGCAATTGCTATATTGAAACTTAAGTATAAATCTATGTATCGAGGTACATACTTCTATGCAGAATTGACTAATCATATCAAATGAACGTTTATAAAGACTTATAACGTAACTTTTCGGTCAGTCCAACTTTCGTCCTTTCATTATTTAATCAATTTTCTCCAAGACTTGATTACGCTCTTCACATTTAATTACAATATTCAAAACGATATTTAATGATCTTTAATCATATTCGCTGTGTTGATACTTTTCGCCTTCATTACGGAGGGCGAAAAAAGCAAAAATTCAGCTGCAGCGAAAATTTCCCTGTATACAGTATAGAATTCCGTGTGTTTTATGCTGTTTAAGCATATAGCATTGTGTTCCCGTCAGATGTGTACATGGTAGAGACTTTACCTGGTTATTACTGTAATATTAGTTCCTATTGTTTTGTCATAATGACGATATATAACAAAAACTATAATATTATATAACTGTGTTTCCCCCATCAGGTGTGTACTTGATAATGACGATATATAACAATAACTATTATATTATATAACATTGTTTCCCCCATCAGGTGTGTACTTGATAATGACGATATATAACAATTACTATAATAATATATAACTGTGTTTCCCCATCAGGTGTGTACTTGATAATGACGATATATAACAATAATTATAATATTATGTAACATTGTTCCCCCCATCAGGTTTGTATTTTATGGTATCGATGGCGCTGGTTGGCACGTCTTGCCTTCTCACAGTATTCGTGCTACAGGTACACTACAAGGGTAACAATGGCACACGAATGCCCGGATGGGTTAAGCGTTGCATCATGGGACCGCTGTCCCGTATCACCTGCGTTAAGATAACTGATGACGACAGCAAAAGCTACACTGTGTCAGAAGGAAACAACACTGGACTCATCGTAAGTTGTTTATCTTATTTTGTATGAATGTTATTTTGCCGAAGATTGAGTCAATCCTGCTAACTGATTGCTTGTTTTGTACTTCAAGATTAGCTCAAGCAGTTTTCATTTCCAGTTATCAAAATATGTAACAGTATGTTCTTGTTACTATAAGTTTAATACTGAAGACTAAATAAACAACGTTGTATCATGTTGCATTTTGGTCATAATAGGCTTTATGCTTTTCATTTTTGTCACTTGCAGATTCCAAATGGTTCTCTGCAGTGCGAACAGTTCGAAAAAGTGAATTACAGCAAAACTCAGGACAATGCAAAGACGCAGCCTACCGCCCCTGCTACGGATGGAAAACAGCTTATCTATCCTCTCCACTCAGTACTCAAGGGCATTTCTGACAGACTGGAATACTTCCGGCGTCACATAGAATCTCAGCAAAATGAGGCGACTGTGGACAAAGATTGGAGCCTACTGGCCGTCATGATGGATCGTGTTTTCATGGTTGTGTACATTGTAATAGTCGTTACGGTGGCGCTGTCTATGATACTTCCGGTTGTCCTAAGGAACCGCTCTTTCCACACAGAATGACGGATACTACTAGCTATTTTGCTCAGAACTCAGGCTTTTTTTATTCGAATAACATTAACATTAAAATCAGTAGCTTCCAAAAAAAAATAACTAAATGTCCCCGCCATTTATTTGGTCACCTGAGCCACGCAAACACTAAACATTTGTTGAATTGCAGAATCCAGCACTGCAGTTCGGAATAATTAAATGAATAAACAATAGCATTGATAATAATGAGCAATAAAGCTTCAAACAAATGCACTTAACGGTTTATTACGTCGATTCTAAGTATTAAGGTCTCTAAATCAATCCCTCATTTGGCTTTATTGTAAAGAAATAACTAAGTAGTTGTGTGATTGCGTTTAATGTAAACTATTTCATGTGTGTAGTAATACGATATCATTAGAATGCAGTCTTTAATTTGTGTAATAGCATTATTATCAGAGCGCAAAGATATTTGACATGAATTTTATTGATAAACGAAATGTCTTTTTTTTTCAATGCGATGAAACACTACCAGTGTTGTGTATATTCTTATATTGTATGTATTCCGTCTTTGCGTATTGCAGAGTTATCTTCTCTTGGGAGCAGGTATTGATTGTAACGTCATTGATCTGTGTGAGAAAATTACGTCGTTTTCTCAAAAATTGATGACGTTACTCTCCAACAAACAAGTGACGTAACAATCAATACCTTGTTGTAGAAGAACTGTATGTAGTGTTTTATCTTTTATTTTTTACGGAATATGTTTAGTATTCAGTGTTTGTCTTCCATGCGTGTTGGCCTTCAAGGTACTATCCTTGTGTATGCATAATAGTTGTACATAAAAAGTGAATAAAATTGAAAGTCGAAAAACAACAAATGTTGAGTTGACATTAAAATATCAACATGTGTTCTTGGTTCAAATTCGTATCTTATATTGATTTGAAAGACACATTTCACTATCCTTAGGTGTCAAATTCGTTTCTGATTAATACTCAAGTGGCCAAGTTAATACGCGGTGGCCAAGTTGGTTAAGGCGTCTGACATTCTGCTACCACTAGCAATCCACCACTTGGTCGTGGGTTTGAGGCCTACGTGGGGCAGTCGCCAGGTACTGGCCGTAGCTCGGTGGTTTTTCTCCGGGAACTCCGGCTTTCTTCCACCACCAAAACATGACACCTCTTTAAATGACCATAGCTGTTAATATGACGTAAAACACAAACAAACCCAACAAAAATTTATATCACGTCAAGTAAATTTCAGAACAAATGCTGATCTTCCTTTTTGTTTATGAAATAGTACGCGTCATAGACCCCCAATGATATTGGTTATTGCCGATTTTATGCAACGTCAAATATATATGGTAGTTTTTAGAGGAACGTAAACAGATATTATAAATATGCACTATTCACTCAACTTTGACAAATGTTATTATAACTATTATATTCATAGAAGATTAATTTGGTTTTCTAAACCTTGGACGGGTTTGCCTATATTTCATGCAGCAGCAAGAAAACTTACCAGAAAACAGCTCTCTATTAATCAGGAGGAGGATGTTTTTAATAACTTGTTAAATCTCATATAATGGAGTGTTAAACTAAGTATATCGGGACATCTCAACAATGTCCTATCATGGGGTGATGTACAAAATGTATCAACCTTCTTTTTCGTAAATTTATTATTTACTATAACTACGTGATAGGTGAGTTTGTTATATTAGCATATATCTATTGTTACGGAAATTAGTATCGGTTCTTTTACAAAAACTTAACAGCACACGGACAGCACATATGTCCATATAACTACGGAAACAACACATAGTATAAACAGGATGCATTTAATTAAACATATCCATGGGTTTTAATAGCTTATATGTATGACTTTTCATAGTGTTTTTGTTATAAACAACCATCAAAATTTGTTATATTTCACAATATTTTGACCGATCAGAAAACAATATACTTTATAATCTAATTGATCGACATGTTAAAAAAGGAATATTTGATTACTTGTTTCAGAAATAAGGTTCTCTATTGGAATTTTGTTCTTGTTTCTTGTTAATTTGCATAATTTCAAAAGAGAACAATAAATAAATATTTACCATCTCAGTAAATGTTAAAAAAAAATATTATATAGATATGATACCTTTATGTACAAATAGCAAAGCAGCAAGACCCAGTTTATTACAATATAAATATAATTATTGTAAATCAATTGTTTAGCTTGAAGACGTCCATCAGATCGCTTTTAACCCCGTGACCGCCAGTAACAATTAACAAAAGTAATCAACATATGTACCGTAGAAATAAAGTAACTCCTTTTGTGTATATAAGCCTTTGATATGTTTGTTAAAGAATATTAATCCATTATGAACATGCTAATGAGAAAAAACGACACATTTTAGTAATGGGAGTGGTTTTGGTTACTTGCCATTTCTCTCGAATTTATCGTTTTGTTCAATGTTTTGCCACACGTCCTATCGATTTAGAATAATGATATCCGGTCGTTTAAGAATGGCAATAGTGTTCTTCATCAGCCCATAGTAACAGTGTTTAGCTGTTATGTTTCCTGACATTTAAAGTTTTATCTTACACTCGTTAACGATGTTTACCTGTACTGGCAAGAGTTGAAGCAAGAGTTGAATATCACCTAAATGTGTACCATCAACTCGACACATGCTTTACAGCTAATAACATTGATGTAAAGGTATGATGAATGGTGATTAAACTCTGAAAACCCATACTGCTTCCATTTCCTTACAAATGCTGTCTATGATAGTAATAGCTACATAACATCATCATGGTGAAAGGTATAAATTCAAGTTGATTTGTTTTTCTTTTCTGCAGTGAAATGTTCTTATTATGTAGGTCGGAAGTCGAGGAGGAAAAATAGTAAGATTGGCAGATAGAAGCTTGCTATACTAGATATAGCCCGGCTTGGCCAGCATGATTTTAAGAGTTGGTAGTTCGGCAGTAGCAGGCTATGTAGCTGGTATATGGCAAGTTATAATCTGAGGAGGCTCGGAGCATGTGGAAATTCTAATACACAATAACGCAATTTCAAGAAAATGCACTAAATTCAATAAATGAACTACGTTTCTTGTGTGGTGGGTCACCCAATAATAACATTTGTAGTATTTTGGACTCTAAATTTAGCAGTTGTAGCTATACCTATTACAAATGCTTACATTTGCTTTTCCATAATATCCGACACGATGATTATATCTTCGATGATATTACAAGGTGTCACATCTACCTACTCCATTTCCAATCTGTGCAATCAGAGCAAACGATTTTTAAATTTCATATTCACTTGAACCAATGCAACAAAACAAATTGAAACTCTTGCAAAATATTCACTTCGTTGACATATTTTGTTAAAAAATAAAATTTCTCATCTCAACGACCGTATTACAAACTTTGTACCTAACCTTTATCCAAGCTTACTTTAAAGCAATATCTTCATTTGTTCGAAATGTTTCATTAAATTGGTTTTCTTTTTTCTTTTATTATTATCTTATAGGTTGTTGTTTTTTTAACTTTTTTATCTATACTTTTTTCATGTTAAATGAAATGACATCAATAATTACTAACGCTTTATATATTTTACTGCTAAACCAATTGAACGCAAAAAATAAGCATCGGATCTAAAATCGATACCCACATTTATGCTAAAAAGGGTAATTCAGTAATTAAAAAGAAAGAGGAGAATATTTTAATCATTATATTTAATTAATGTGTTTTAGTTTATATCTAAGCTGATTAATTACTGTCCTGTCGGTGACAAGCCTGCCTAAGTACCAGTCACGTGGTATTGACAGTGTCCGTTATTAATCAATGCACATTAAAATCAATTTATCTATGTCCTCGAACTAGTTGTCCAAACCTTTTAAGCTTAATGAAACCTGAAAACGCGCACCCCTACATATATGTGAAACATAAATAAATTGTACATCACGCGCACACCCCTACACATATGTGAAACAGAAATAAATTGTGCATCACACGCACACCCCTACACATATATAAAACATATATAAATTGTACATCACGCGCGCATCCCTACACATATGTGAAACATAAATAAATTGTACATCACACGCACACCCCTACACATATGTAAAACATATATAAATTGTACATCACACGCACACCCCTACACACCTACATACTCATTACGAAATATTTAAGCATCAAATGGATCACGTGGTAAGACTTGCTCGAGATAGATTTCTCTCCCACTCTCCCGATTGTAATGACTCTTAATGTATGTCATCAGTTGCGTGTAAACCATCGTAGTGATATTTCTTTGGAGTTCGATAGGGTGTTATATAAAGTTGTATATATATAATCATAATTGATCAAAAACATGATGGTATATTATTACCGCTTTTATAAATTAATCTGTAGGACAAATAATTGCTAAACTGTTTGAATTACAAGTTAAAAATAGTTTTCAAAGATTTTTTATCAATTTGGCAAGTTAAACAATTATCGTTGTAAGATAAATACCAGGTGCTGTAACATTATTTGATCAAAACACAACATATTGGAAAGTATTTAATTACGACAAAAGCCACAGCCTCATTCCAGAATCAGCCAATTACTGTGTAATTGTTCAGTGTGTTTGGGTGGACGTGAGGAAAATTAAATCCTAATCAATACACATCCAATAAAAACTGGTCAGAAATGACAGAATTGTTCTCTTTCATGTACTGACACGGTTTATGATTTAATTCTTTTTATGTGATTTAATGGTGAAATCAGAGAAGTTGGATAATACACCTGCTCATCAAGTTCGTTTTATCAAATACCCGTGTGTTTTCCTATTTAGTAGCTGGAAATTGCTAAATAGAAATTCAAATCAATCCCTCATGGTATTGTTGATGTGATGCTAACAGTCCAATATTAATTAATTATCGAGCATATATTGCTTACGTTAGCGGACAATAGTGTGTGATGTGTCAATGGTTTCTGTTTGATCTCAACATTATCAGAAAGTGTATATTTAAACATGATTTAAATTAACAAAGTGGTATCCTGTAAATTCTTGGAACGTCGCGTACTTTGTGTAAAAATTGGATTAATTTCGAACGAAATCGATTAAAGCAGATAGTAATACATATAAATTGAAGCTAAAACTCAAAGGTGAGTTACAATTACTCTAAACCGCAGGTACATTATAGATACCCTGCTAAAACTGAAAGGTGAGTTATAATTACTCTAAACCGCAGGTACATTATAGATACCCTGCTAAAACTAAAAGGTGAGTGACAATTACTCAAAGGTTAAAAAAATACAATTAGTCCTAGCCACATGCAAATCATATTTACTCTGCTTAAACTCAAAATAAATCACATTTACTCTAAACCACATGAAATTTATAGTTACTGTTTGAAAATCGCGGGTTAATTCCTATAAAAAGACAAGTAAATGATAACTTCTTTGCTCAAACACATGTAAAGTACAGTGACTTCGCTAAACATATGTTAAATGAAATATGAGCACTAGTGAACATCATCCAAAACGTAAATTATTATATCGAACAAGGACATAAGATATTTCCAAACGAGAACGAACAATGACATAAGCTATTTCCAAACGAGAATGAACAAGGATATACGATGTTTCCAAACGAGAATGAACAAGGACATAATATATTTCCAAACGAGAAAGAACTAGGACATAAGATATTTCCAAACGAGAATGAACAAGGATATACGATGTTTCCAAACGAGAACGAACAAGGACATACGATATTTCCAAACGAGAACGAACAAGGACATAAAATATTTCCAAACGAGAACGAACAAGGACATAAGATATTTCCAAACGAGAATGAACTAGGACATACGATATTTCCAAACGAGAATGAACTAGGACATACGATATTTCCAAACGAGAATGAACTAGGACATAAGATATTTCCAAACGAGAATGAACAAGGACATAAGATATTTCCAAACGAGAACGAACAAGGACATAAGATATTTCCAAACGAGAATGAACTAGGACATAAGATATTTCCAAACGAGAATGAACTAGGACATACGATATTTCCAAACGAGAATGAACCAGGACAAAAGATATTTCCAAACGAGAACGAACAAGGACATCAGCTATTTCCAAACGAGAATGAACTAGGACATACGATATTTCCAAACGAGAATGAACAAGGACATACGATATTTTTAAACGAGAACAAACAAGGACATAAGATATTTCCAAACGAGAATGAACAAGGATATACGATATTTCCAAACGAGAATGAACAAGGATATACGATGTTTCCAAACGAGAAAGAACAAGGACATAAGATATTTCCAAACGAGAAAGAACAAGGACATACGATATTTTTCCAAACGAGAACAAACAAGGACATAATATATTTCCAAACGAGAAAGAACAAGGACATAATATATTTCCAAACGAGAACGAACAAGGACATAAGATATTTCCAAACGAGAAAGAACAAGGACATAAGATATTTCCAAACGAGAATGACCTAGGACATACGATATTTCCAAACGAGAAAGAACAAGGACATACCATATTTCCAAACGAGAACAAACAAGGTCATAAGATATTTCCAAACGAGAACGAACAGGGACATCAGATATTTCCAAACGAGAACGAACAAGGATATACGATATTTCCAAACGAGAACGAACAAGGACATAAGATATTTCCAAACGAGAACGAACAAGGATATACGATGTTTCCAAACGAGAACGAACAAGGATATACGATATTTCCAAACGAGAACGAACAAGGACATAAAATATTTCCAAACGAGAACGAACAAGGACATACGATATTTCCAAACGAGAATGAACTAGCAAATAAGATATTTCCAAACGAGAATGAACAAGGACATCAGATATTTCCAAACGAGAGCGAACAAGGACATAAGATATTTCCAAACGAGAACGATCAAGGACATAAGATATTTCCAAACGAGAAAGAACAAGGACATAAGATATTTCCAAACGAGAATGAACTAGGACATACGATATTTCCAAACGAGAATGAACTAGGAAATAAGATATTTCCAAACGAGAATGAACAAGGACATACGATATTTCCAAACGAGAATGAACAAGGACATCAGCTATTTCCAAACGAGAACGAACAAGGACATAAGATATTTCCAAACGAGAACGAATAAGGACATAAGATATTTCCAAACGAGAACATGACAGCAACTAAAATGCTTCTACATATTCTACATAAACCAGCATCTCCCAAACATCTGTGTTGTACATGAACACGAACATAACTAATCATGTGCAACCCGTAAATATGCCTTTAACTGCGACAATTAAACACCTATGGTGGTGGAAGCGGTTTATTCACTCATATCACAGCGGGCGATGTGAATAGAAAGTTGATTATTTAAACATTTGATAACGAAAATTGCGCCAACGCTGCATGGAATCGATGCACGTGAATTGAGGGGACAGATATCTTCGTGATACGTGTTTGATGGTTTCTTGTCACGTACACCTGATTGTTAGAGCACGCGGGTATTTATTGACTTTCAATGTTACATAACACGCCCATAGCTCTTAACATCAGTTACTAATAGTCCATTTTGGTCACCATTGTTGTGGTAAAAAGAATTACGTCATTACGTTAGAAAAGTTGAGATAAAATCGAAAAACGGTACAAGTGCGACTGATTACTGCTACTAATGTCTTTTATCCAATATACCGTGTGGAATAATTATTGGTAGTAAGTTTCAATATATATAATGCAGATTATGTGAAAAGGCACTTCCAATGATAGTCCTATAACAGAGGGTAAATTCCGAATTCCGTGATACTCCATAAAAATATAACAAACAAAATTGAAAGATCAAAATAAAAGCAAAAAACATCCTGAACCCGTGCAAAACAAAAACATAAATGTTTTTGTCTTCTTAAACAAAGTCTTGTTTCTTGATAATTTTAAAAACTGGTTCGTTGTAGTATATGCTTTGTATTTCGACTTGTTATGGGAGATTAGCCAGTCTATGAATAATAATACATTTGATTTATACACGTCTTTCTTTCCGTTCCTGGATTTTACAGAAGATGAAGACAATCGGTAAGTTTTGGTCGCCACCATGGTCTCACTGGGAATATGCTATTTCATTGAGTGTTATTAAAGTATATTTTTATTCTTACCGGTCTGCCCTTTTGTTTTGTTGTCACTTCCCCAGTTCCCGCTTTGAGTACATGACATCACTTGGTTTTGAACTATATTTACATGTTTGGCGTCGTTGATGAGGCAGAAGACGATCGCTCTTGCAGAACGCCTGGTCTTAGTCCTTTTGTAAGAGCTTCTTTTGTTGATAGTTACCCCTAGTTGTTTCGATTTTGAGTTCGGATTATGGTTTTATTCACACTCCGGTATTCTCACTTTGACTTTTGTATATATTTGCTTCCGTCATGACATAATCAAATGTGTATTTACGTCACAGTAATTAGTCTTTAAGCGAAGCAACTTGATCGATTGTACCTACTTTTGTTAGCAATTACGCTCATGTGTTTTATATAATAGTGTAAACTAGAAAGAAGAAAAAAACTTTAAATCTATAACTTGAAGCACTTGCTCTTTGACCGTATAGAGCTGTCTGCTGCTTTCCCCTCTTTTTAAAAAGACTGCATTTGTTGACAGAATCGTGACAGAAAATGATTGAGAAACATGGAAACATGCGTTATTTTATTATCATGCAAGGAAATTATATAAATTGATCGAGAAAAATAGGATTGGGGACGCACTACAATAACGATCATGTATGACTATCATGGGATGTGTCATTACCGAAGGAATTATTCCCTAAGTATCAATGTGGGCACCGTCCTTCTCAATTTCTACCTAAATCATGACAACAGGATACGGAGAGGCGTGGTGAGATGACACTCGGAAAGTTTCTCGGTCGATTAGTTCGATCGAGATCATGCAAATGCGTGGTTTGAGAGCGGCAATTATTTCTTGTTTTAATATATATAGTTACAAAACCAATCCAATTTAAGTCTGTATTCGAACACGAGTAGGGGGTTGTTAAATTAATTTGTTAATGATCTTCGACAGCAAGTAGCTGTTTCATAACCACGATATCAAATATGTGTTTATATATGATGTATGACTATTTCGTTTGAGCGATAATATCCTTAGGTATATTAATGAAATAAACATGAGTTTGTGTCTACATTGAATCCGGCGGACGAATCAATATTTGAAGTTGAGTATGTCTAAAGGGAAAAGGATGAGCCTCACTGGTGATCAAATCAACACAGGGAACGGAAATGTGCTGATTTAAGTAAACCGTTCCGGGGAATATGATCTCAAATTGCTGCGTCCAAAATGTGATTAGATTTTAAAGTTGATGTGATTTATTATGATAAGGCTTTTGACAGGTTATACAGGAATCTTATATGATTTTGAACCTACAAAATACTCAAAATTACACAGAGGGTATGCAGCAAATATTCGTTTTCCATTTGATCTGAATTTGCCTTGTTTTATGAAATAGTAACTTCACAATGATTGTGACAAAATATATGATTCGTGACCTTACTAAAATAAATTCATAATATTTTTTATCACCATTCAATTTGCAATGATAATTTTGTCATCCTCTTTCTCTATATGTGCTACAGGTAAGGCAATGTTTCTATCATTTTGTAAAATTGTAAACAAACAAAAAAAACATTATTCATAAACGCTAAATCTACCTTCCAAACACATGTGTAATTGTTTTCTCAATGATTCAAGTTACCTGATTAGTTATTAAATCCCGAACAAAGTGGGGTTTATTGACTTCGCCGTGTTTCTTCTAATTATTATCGGGTTTTTTCTTCTTATCATTTTTGCTCAAAATCTATTAGCGGAATACTTATAAAACTTAGCATGACCATTGGTTGGCATATATAGGTGTATGTAACGGTTTAAGGTTCTGATTGGACCTCACACATGGCGCCGCCGTGGTCCACAATCAATTAACACGTAGATGGGTGTGCGCCAAGGTTTAGAGTGGTGTGCGCCAAGGATTAGATGGGTGTGCGCCAAGGTTTAGATGGGTGTGCGCCAAGATTTAGATGGGTGTGCGCCAAGGTTTAGATGAGTGTGCGCCAAGGTTTAGATGGGTGTGCGCCAAGGTTTAGATTGGTGTGCGCCAAGGTTTAGAAGGGTGTGCGCCAAGGTTTAGATGGGTGTGCGGCAAGGTTTAGATGAGTGTTCCGCCAAGGTTTAGATGGGTGTGCGCCAAGGTTTAGATGAGTGTGCCGCCAAGGTTTAGATGGGTGTGCGCCAAGGTTTAGGTTGGTGTGCGCCAAGGTTTAGAAGGGTGTGCGCCAAGGTTTAGATGGATGTGCGCCAAGGTTTTGATGAGTGTGCCGCCAAGGTTTAGATGGGTGTGCGCCAAGGAGATGCCATCAGTCTCTCGCTATGTCTTATTTTGCTCTAAATTGATATGCAATTGTATTATGGTATTGCAAGGTGTTTCCGATACATCAGTTAAGACTACATAGGCAGTTTTGGGGACTTCTGGAACGATCCCCGTTTCAATTAAAGCTTGTTAAATATGTATCTGTTGAACATATCTAACGTCTGACCAATTCATTGCATTTAACGATACCCATATAACCAATCATCAACTGTACAAGTCTTAGTGAATGAATTTACCAGAGAAGACAAAAATCGTAAAATACACGTAGCATTCATCTTTAAGAAAGACAGGTGAGCCTATCACATTACGGTACTTCTTCCTCTATCGATTAATTGATATCGCACAATACAGGTTGTACGTGACATATGTTTGCCTTGATAATTGTCCCTTTTTTTCCTTTCCGTTTATTCATCATTCGATTGTGTAGTGTTCATAAACTCTACAAAAAGTATCTATTTCCAAATTTATTCGTTAAGCATACTTCTCAGTGATATTATGTATAATACAGTAACAATTATTTGAATATCAATATTTTTCATCGATCTAGAAAAAGTCATTTCCTATTAACAACTCTTCAGTTGTTGCCTATTGAATTACTTATTTATTCAAGAACCCTACTAGTTACTACTTTCCAGCTGCCACTACAGATAACACGGGTGAGTTGATAGTGCCCCGTCATATGTTCAGGGGAGGTTTTACCTATTTGATCATTTAAGATATCCAGCTATGATTTTACGTATTAATCATCGCCGAGTAGATCCCAATTGATAATGGAATTGATGGATATGATGGTGATTTACCGTGGTAGGTCCCTTTCCTATAGTTAGCGAATTATCAATTCAACAGGCGCTGTATGACAATTAATCTATACACAGGCAGCCTCGTCACAACATCAGGTTAGACTGCGTTCAGGTGGGCAGACGACACGGTGTTTACAGCGATACAAATGTACTTGTGATTTCCGCAACGTTCAAGTACTAACAAATAGACGGACCATGGATTCGATCTACACGTTTGGTTTGCTGTCTTGTCTTCTATTCCAAGGTTAGTAATTAAAAAATTATTGTATGTAAAAATATAGATGTAGATAATCAAAAATGGTTGTATCGATAATGTTCCTGAAATACAATTGAGATTTGTTTGTATTCTGGTACGGTATCTTTTCGCTTTTTCCTTGGTTTTGGTTTAATTTCTTTCTTATGATTTATAATAATTCCTCATGATTTAATTCCTTACTTATGATGTATGATTATGTGATAAAAAGTTAATTTTAAATAATTTATACAAACATTTTACCTGTAACGATATAGCGACAATCCTCGATAACCCCAGCAGTCCTCGTTTCGAGTACTGGCTACGTTGTGTAACAGCTTGTTCATTGGGACACTTTTCAATTTTAAATGGCCAATATATTCTCATGAAAACCGTTGTAATAGTATGATAACCGTACATGATTTTTTATGGATTAATTAACAAGTCTTTTTGTACTAATTTTTGAAGAACAAAATATTGCTATTCCTTCAACATGTATACCTTAAGATTTGTAAGAATCAGCAGTCGCCTGGTGGTCAAATACACTGTTAATGCGTAACTAAATTTAACGTGAAACTAAACATTAATACAAAAGGTTTGGTTATGTAATTAAACATTATTAAGAAGTAAATTTTAATAACTTTCTCTCCGATTCATCATCTTTAAATTAATATTTTGAATTCCTACATAATCATACAGTTTAAGCGATATATTCCATCATTGGGGGAAATCCATGAATTAACCGTTAACATCAACCTATGGAACGAAACAAAAGAGTTGTTTTCAACTGTGTATAAGTACTGTTAGCTTGGGTGTCAAAAGAATAACGTGTATTGTAAAAAAAAGAAAGACACAAGTACTAACATGCGAAATTTTACATTTGATTAGGTTAACATCGACTATGTAAAATCGGAAAATGACGATATTTGTTTAAACTATGTTGAGATGAGAGTAAAATTACATGTCTATTTCACAACCTTAGCTCTTAAAAAAAATCCTGAACATTTAAGTATCTGAATATCCAAAATCAGCGAGCAAGCGAACGAATGTATGGGTGTATTTTACGCGGAAAGCATGGCGTCCAGCGTTATTTTTGACAAATGCTGACGGAGTAATATCGTTTTCATGATGCCAGAAATGGCACACATTTCACTAAAAACATCTTAATGTATCTATTTCACACTTATGACAGAAGTATATATTCGGTCATGAAAACAAGTTATCCCATAACATATGTGACACATTGCTCTGGGTATATGGCAGTCAAAATGCAACGATTAAATAGGTTAATTAAAAACAAATAACTTTCCTACAAAACGTAAAATATCTGGAATAGAACAATATTTTTTTTATGTTTAATCATATAAAACCGATATCGATTGGGATATTATACTCGGTTGAGAGCTACAATACAATATTTATCTAAGCTAAAACAAATATTTGTCTCGACGTTCAACTTAATTAAAGAAATGCATAGGATATCAGGAGTGAGACAACAGGCCCATTCCCCGAAAGCAAGTGACATGTCAACTGTCCCCTGTGTAAACTCTGCTGTGGCATCTACATTGTGTTGGTGCTTTTTCTTGTGCATATAGAAATAGGCAGCAAATGTTTTAAATCG